ATAAAACTCATTGTTATTAAATTATAAATTTATAATAAAAGAAATTGAATTAAAAAAATTATAAAAAAATAACAATATTTAAATAGTTAATTTGATACTAATATCAATATATATTCTTTTTCAAATTTTCATGATATTTTCAAATTTATATTTTATTTAAAATAAAAACATTGTTGTTTTCTCAAAATCACATAAAACCGTATAATATATATCGACATAGACAGAATAAAATGAAACATTAAGATCAAGATGTATTTCCATACATTACTCGAGTACTTTTTTAATGTGTGTGTGTATATATATATATATATATATATATATATTTTGACACATGTTTTAAGAATTCAATTTCATGATTTATTCTCTTTTGGGTGTTCCTTTTTGATGTATGTTTGCTTTTTTACTTTTAATTTTTTGGTTAATGGGTGTGCATTGTTGTTAGATTTAGAAGCTGCAGCTTTTTAATTGTGTCAAGTTTTGTTAAAAATATGTTTTTAAATAAAAGACAATTGTTAGGTTTTTTTAATCTTTAACTCAGAAAGACGCTTACTTATTCTGATCATTGCCAAAAGCGTCTTCTGAGTACTCACGAGACCCGTACTAAGACCCTCAAAAACGGTTACTTCACTTTCCATGTGTCCAATGTTAAATGGGATCATTCGTTTGTAACATTTACAGAGATCTTCTCTGTATTTTTTGGTGTTAAATCTTAAGCTTTGTATTTTAACTCATCTTGTAAAATCTGTGAAATATATGAGTTATTTGACGTTCTGATCTGATTTTTTGTTCATACATCCATTGATTATGATATTAAGCTTCCGCAATTCATATTCAATTATGTTAATATCGATTCAGTTGAGTTATTGGGATCAACAAATGTAATAATATATGTAAAACCTCATTATGTTCCTCTTTAAAAGATATAAAGAACAAATAGTTCAATCGTAGCTGATGTAGTACTCTAACATGCAACTGTTGTTCTTTAGCAAAACTACAAATCTTATAAAAAGTCCAAATTGATAACTTTAAATTTCATTACATATATTATAATAAAAAAATATTCGATGTTTTTAATAATATTTTATATTTTTAATTATTATAAAATTACAATAAATTCTTAATCATTAATATTATCAAATTTTTGTATTTATGTTCTCTATAATATATCATAGTATATTAGTGATGGCCAAAAATCGGTCTCGGACTGGTCCCAAGATATCTCATAACTGGCTATAACCAATTTCGGTCCCGGTCGAATAGATGAAGACCGGTCAGGCTGGTTTATAATCGGTTATGGGCCATGGGTCCCGGTCCCACCCTTAAATTTTAAATTTTTTTAATGATATCTATACTATATTATAATGCATTTGACTAAAACTCTTAAAAA